GCTGGCACGAGTTCCATCTGTTCACGACAGATGGTTAGGGAACGAGATTTTACGAAAGATTAAGTGACAAGCTGTTTATGTTACTTTCATACAACTTTGGGTCATAGCTTTTACAAATTTAATATGACAATTATACATATTTCAATAATTTTCACTTGCAAACAACACATCTTTGCCGCCTTAATATAAATATGTCATAAATTTATTACAGATAAAAAATATACATTATAGGAACGTTAAATTCAACATTATATCAAATCATATTATAAAATGAAGTCAGAGACTGTTGTCTATAAACGCGATAAACTCAAAAGCTACCAATAAATCGAGCGGTTGTAAAAATAATTCTTTATTATTCTATATAAATTGACTTATAACTACTATAGACGAAATCCTCGCGGTAGCTGCCGGTAGAAACGAGTATAAAATTAATAACAAAAGTATTGCTATAAGCAGTATAAAAAGTAATACTATTCCCAACCTTTATTATAAATGCGAAAGTGAGTTTGTTACGCTTTCACGGTTATTCCGATTTTGATGTTTTTATAATGTAATGGAAAAAAAAGCCACTAAGTGTACAGCCATCGTTCCAAGCATCTTGATACTTTTATTGCAGCAATGTCTGTTTTGGAATACACTTTAGGGATTTACACATGTATTTAACAGTAAGTCTCGCGATTGAAAACTTAAGTAAATAATGTTATAAATTCGGGTAAATCCGTTTAAAAGTCCTTTTGAATTTACTAACAAAACTGAGTTTCTTATAATAATAAATTCAAATTTCTCTTTGACAATAGTTCAGCCTATTAAATTTAAATGAGTTTAAAACGCAAGCTGCTGACGCAAGGTCAGTGAAAGATCACCCTTTTAATTGCTTCATGAGAAACGACCTTGAATTATAAAAATGAAAATCAAAGTAAAAAAAACTTCTAACGAAAAAGTACAATTTATATTAAACTGGACTGTGACTTCGAAACAAATATAATTGATCATTCTCTTTAAATCTGAAATTGAGTAATCAGGTTGCCAGAACCAATATAAGTCATAGATATACAAGATAACGCAAATAGAATAAGATTAAATATAGTAAAATCTACTGGCGGTGTCCACTGCCATTATAATTATGATAATCTAGTAGCGCTACAACCTCAACAAGCTCTTGGCCTCCAGTCTCCTTTCATAACTTTTATAAGCAAGTATTCAATCTTCTGTAGAGCAGTGTTGACCTAGTGGCTTTAGCGTGCGACTCTCATCCCTGAGGTCGTAGGTTCGATCCCCGGCTGTGCTCCAATGGAATTTATTTCTATGTACACATTTAACATTCGCTCGAACGGTGACGGAAAACATCGTGAGGAAACTGGCTTGCCTTATACCAAAAAAGTGGACGGCGTGTGACAGGCACAGGAGGCTGATCACCTACTTGCCTATTAGATTGAAAAATTATCATAAAACAGATTCAGAAATCTGAGGCCCAGACCTAAAAAGAGGTTTATTAAGGCGTGTCGGTTTCCTCACGATTTTTACCTTTACCGTAGGAGCAAGTGTTAATTGCGAACATTTTTTTTATAGAACATATGGGCAGGTGGCTGATGTTAAGTGAAACCGGCGCCCTTGGACACTCACACTGCCAGAAGGCTCTGAAGCTCTTGCCGGACTTTTAAGAATTGGTACGCTCTTATTTTGAAGGGCCCTTTGAAGTCGAAATAGTTAGGATCTTCAGTGGGCAGCTGATATAGAAAGAAAATCCAATGGTGGACAGGATTCCAATACAAGATCTCAGGGTTGCGAGTCACACGCTGAAGCTACTATAGAACTGCTCTTATTGCCTTTCTAATGACATTACTAAATTTGTAAGTATGCCATTAAAGCAATGCATGAGGATATACATTTTCCTAAACCTCAACCTGTCTATACAAATCTCAAATATGAAAGTGAATCGCGTTGTTAGGATTATTTGAATAGTCTGCAAAACGTGATAATTGGTGCGCGTAATCAAGCCTCTAATTGGATCCACAGAACGACGAAATATTACGAAATCTGTTTTCATTAAATATCGTTTAAATACTTCAAGAATTTGTGTCAATTCCTCTTGTAATTGCTCTAACAATTTTAAGTGCCTATATGTAATGTTATAGCGTCATATTTACATCACAAAAATCAATCCACGAGATTGATTGATGAAACCTTAAAAACCTAGATCTCCAATAATTCTAGAAACCTTACAAGAAAGATATCGTCCAATAATTGTTTCGTTAAACTTGTAAATCCTTATTCTCTACGTCGGGAGTTAATAAAACGGACGAGGAGGCTCAGTTGATAGCAAAAGAGATTACAAAAGCCTCCGCCGTGTAATATTATTACGCTTAACGCTACGTTACACTGAGCTCTCTATTTTTTTATTTATCAATCCATATACTTAAAGGCTTATATGTGGCCATTCAAATTTAAATATGATGAATTAAAAAAAAACTAAAAATGAGCCTATTAGTATCGACTCTCATCCCTGAGGTCGTAGGTTCGATCCCTGGCTTCAATGGACTTTCTGTGTATGTGCATTTAACACTCGCTCATACGGTGTAGGAAAACATCCTCAAGGATCCATCCCGAAACCAGCATGCCTTAGACCTAAAAAGTTGACGGCGTGTTTCAAGCAGCGGGTGTTCCTCTTGTCTGTTGATAAAATTGTTCAGAAGTGCATCATCCAAAAGCAAAGTAGATCTCCTATCGAAGATAGGAGGTCGAAGATAGGTACCATAAGATGGGCTTATTACTACATACTTTTTAAAGTGTGACAAACACGTTTCTTACATGTTGATTCTCCAACTTCTACTCAATCGAATCTTCATACAACCCATCTGTATTAACCATTAACACACAGGCCCTGAATTCGGACCCAGAACTTGGGTAATTTTAATATAGAAATCGTTACAGTATTTGCAGACAGGATCAACTAAAAGCCATTATATCAACCTAATTATGAAATGCAAGCAAATATGAGCGGAAATATCTGAAAGGCTGTGGCTACCCTTGGCGCATTGCTGACCCCTTACGTAACGTCTGCATAACTTCTGGTCTAATAGTGACATTCCATTTATTTGTTCGTTTAACATAATTAACAATTCTTTTACCCTAAACTATAAACTCAACTTTTGCACCTCGCATCAATTGATTTTATAACGTAATTCCGATAAAACATCGAAACGTCTATCCACCACACAGAATATTTTTTATTACAGCTCGTTGATTGCCTTTCGCTAGAAGGAAGACGAAGACGCAGGTATGGACTAAGTTCTAAGCAAGTTTAAATTGGGTATATAAAAGTTTATTCAAAAACATATTTAGAGAACAAAATTTTTATATTAAATGATGTCGCATAATAATAACGACACATTTATTTGTATGTATTACACTTTTCAATTCCTACCGAACAATGTAAAGTCTAATTAATAAGCAGCGGAACGGGGAAAAGCAATTTCCTCTAGATTACGTCACAAGTCACCAGAACTAAGTCAAGGGTTCTTGTACTGAGTAAAAACACGTTATATGGCTTAATAGAGGCATTTAGCGCATCATACTGACGATAATTTTGTTTTTATTATATTGCTGTAATATTAACGTTTCATTTATGTATTAGTAATTTTAAATAGAGAATATTGTTCTAGGTTCTTTGACAATGTTTAATTAGTTAACGCAGCTTTCGTCAGAAATCGAACTCAGAATGGGTTCAATTCAGGTTCAAATACGAAGTACGTATGTATTTAAGTAACATTCCAGAATTTGTCAACTATAACCGCATTTATTTCACGGTTTTAGTTTACGGGAATCAATATATAACAAGACGACCTTGGCGTTAGTACAATAACCGTTTCTATGACATTGAAATTTCTTTGATAAAATGCATTTTAATGGGCTATACCAAATTTAATTATGCGTTTATGTATTTCCTAACAGCAACGCCTATACGTACATTCTAAATTTAAAAATTCGAACGTTAGCTAAATATATTTGCCATTTCAAAAATAGAATAGGAAAACGAATATCGAATGCAATAAAAACTAGGCTTTTTGTCTGACTGCAAATTAAAATGAAAACAGCTAACAAATATTCAATAGCGTACTGCAGATCAGTGCTGCGCAAGTAATATTTCTCGTTTATCGTTGATCTGCAGAATTCCGTTATATTCACCTTTGATCTCGAATTGCATTCATATTTAATACTAACCGATCTTCAGATTGCATTAAGTGCTATTTGATTAGATTATAAGTGATCGAAAAATTATTTACTAAGTTCTTGCGCGTATTATTTTGAGTCGAGAAATTTCCATAAGAAAATTAAAAGGCCGGCAACACACTTGCGAACCTTCTAGCAATGTTCATGTGTGCCCGTTTGGCCGCTGTTATATAAAATAAAATAATAATAAATAAACTGATTTTGCCGACTTGTACGATTAAGAATCGATAGGCTTCGAGAATATGTCTTAATAAATTCTTACCCATGAATCGTTTTCAAATAATTTTGAATCCCAATCGCAATGGACATTTGTGTAACTGTGTTCCCGTCACAATTTTTTAATGTACACTTTATCCTCTATCAAATTTAATAGCTTCACATTCCAATTTTCTAATTTTCACTATCGTACGTAAACGCGTATATTATAACTGGAGTGGAGAAAGTTACATGCACTTTACCGTACGCAAAAGCCGACAGACATTGTAATATTTAGTATGCATTGCGCTTTACTTCCAGCACTCAAAATGAAACATCCAGCACACAATTTAAACAGGAATTTCCATTTACAACTTTTAATAGAATACGCGGCTCAAACATTTTAAAAATGAATTTTCATTGCTCATACTGGTTTAAAATTTCGCTCCAAAACCGTTCAAATATCTAAAAATATACCAAAAGCTAACACGGTTAACAGTAGTTAACTTCCAAACTCCCCCAAAGCGAATTTAACCATCCACCTTACACCATAAGCCCATCACAAATTCCCTCACCTGTTGCCGTCTGTCATCATCTCTTGCGCGCTGATCCGCCTGCCTCTTCCGCCTGTCTTCATCTCTCTTCTCGCGTTGCGCCTGCGCCGCGGCCGCGTGCGCTCTCAACTCGTCCAGGCGCTTTCTTTGTTCCGCCTCGCGTCGCTCGCGCGCTAATCTTGCTCGGTCAAGGGCCTCTGTGGATTAAAAGCTCTTATTTAATACTTTATAACTATATTAATTGCTCCAGTCACAAATATATTGAATTTAGATTCTATTATGGATAAGATACAACTAGATATCAGTAATAAATAATAAATTGTACTTGTGTTACTTAAAGATACATATTAATATTTCAAACTGCTTGTGGCACCCAAAATTTCTAAGCCGTGCTTTGATTGCAGTATTGAGAATGTGCAATTACGTCTTATTTACCAACTAATCGATGACGGTGCTAAAGAGATTGTACTCATAAGTAAATAAGAATGCACAGAATAAGAAATCATACAAGCCATTATTGCGTAAGCATTACGATTTACGACGTCTCGAGAGGAACAAATGTATCAAACCGCAAAGTACTCGCAAATCGAAACGTGCGATCATTTTTAGTCCAGACGAATGCGATCTTCGCTGCAATAAGTACAACCAAGTTCTAATATTTTTAGGAGCAGTGTTGGTCTAGTGGTTTCAGCGTGCGACACTCATCCTTGAGATTGTAGCTTCGAACCCTGACTGTCCAACAACGGACTTTCTGTGCGCATTTAATACTCGCTTGTACGATGACGGAAAACACCGTGAGAAAGGCCGAAGACCCAAAAAGTCAACGGTGTGTGTCAGGCACCTGCCTATTAAAAAAAAAACAAAATTCTAACGATACAGATACAAAAATCTATGTCCCAGATGTTAAAGATTGTAAGCGCCACTGATTTTTTTTAGATATAATACGACTATTGTAAACATTTTCTTAACTAAAATTGTAAAATAGGAAATATTTAATATAAAACGGTTAGTACTTTCTTCATTAACTTACGACGAAACGGTCCATTTTAAAAATAATTTTTATTACTCGTTACAAATCGGGCGTAAGTGAAAGTTGTAATAAAATTGTCTTGATTGTAAAAAATAAGTTACTGTTGAAAAGCCAAACTAGGTTATAATACTGAGAAAATGTTTTTTACGCTTCAGACCCGAAAACTCAAGCAATATCTAAGTCTGAATAAAAAAACATGGCATGTCCCGCATCGCAACGATTACAGTCAATTCTTAGAGTATTCACAATAATTGCATCCTTCAACAATCTAGATGATTACCAAATGATTGATGACGTTCTTTATGGAATGCGGATAGAACATATGTATAAACAAGTTTAATTGTATTAAATGTTACATTATCTTTTTTTTTAAAATAGTAAGGGAGCGTTGAAGTATTACGTAACGAATTTTGGAGGGGGGGTCCTTTTGTAAAACGTTACGATGCGGGGCGAGGATTGAATTACGCTAACTATTGTTAATATTATTCGACTTTCCAGTACTTTACAAAACATAATGGTAACTTTTAGGTATAAAGAGTCACTAGGTGGTCACGAAACGTTTTACTATACTTGGTTACAGTACTGTACTTGGATACAGAAAAACGTTACGGCGTGTTACACGGGGGGAGGGGGGTGTCAATAATCTCAAAAAATTGCGTGACGTAATACTTGAACGCTCCCTAATACAGTTTCTAATTTCAGCTTACGCATTTTAAATCTAATCATATTTCATAGTGATTAATTCGGAAACTGAATAATATTTATTTTAAGCTCTGTTGTACTATCACTAGATTCATTTTCATTTCAGTGCAGGGAGGCTTAATCGCTTTTCTTAAGTAGACTCACACAAATTAACTCTATCTCAGAATAAATTGTTTTCTAACTTTCCTTGCGTGTTACTGGTGTCCAATTAAAGATAACTGGCTATTAATTTATGCCCTTAACAATTGAATGCCCTAATTCTTTACACGCTCAGAGTATGGATCATGCTAGTTGCCGTCTGCGGTACATCAATAATATGATTCAGATTCAATGGTTAGTTTTGTTGATCTTTTGAAATTCAACACCTTAAAAGTTAAATCATTGAGATTGGTTCGCAGACGGAGGGATACGACTTTAAGAATACTATTCAATTGATTACATAGATTTTACTATGGGAGCGTTCAAGTATTACGTAACTCAATTTTTGGAGATTATTGACCCCCCCCCCCATGTAACTCGCCGTAACGTTTTTCAAGTACCCAAGTATAATAATAATAAGCCTCTTATCCTGAACTGTTTCTTGGACTTTTAGTTGACTCTTATCTTTAAGTTATATAATATCTCTAAGTTCAGTGTGCCTCTTGGCAAAGGCCTCCTCTAACAATTTCCATTGTACTCTGTCTCTTGCAACCCTTCTCCATTTTGAGCCTGCTGTTAATTTTAATTCGTCTTCCCATCTCTTGCTTTGTCTTCCTCTGTTCCTTTTCCCATCTCTAGGGTACCAGTCAGTTATGATGTTGCTCCACTTTTCTTGTTTATCACGTATCATGTGCCCAGTCCATCTCCACTTAATAGATAGCTTGAAGTGGACCCAAGTATAGTACGTTATAGTATATATATAGTACGTATGTACGTTTCGTGACCACCTAGTGACTCTTTAGTTACTATTATGTGGTGTAAGTCGAAAAAAATATTAACAATAACGCGTAAATTAAATCCTCGCCCCAAATACGTTACGTAATACTTGAACGCTCCCTAAGTCGTTTATAAATTACCTTGCATTACAGGAAATTTGCATTGTTCATTTATTACAAAGAATTCTATCTTTTGGTAACAGCAAAAAAGTTATTTGAACCTAAGAGAAGGACAACTTTTTGTTCACAACAGACGAACTCCCCGATTCCAGCTAGTACCTAACATATTGATCCCTCACGCCCACTCAGTACGGCATTGGCAAAACATGTCAATGCAACATTTTGAAACTTAAAACTGTGTAGGTTTAATTAATGCATAACTACATATGCAGATAAGATTTAGACACTTCACCTTCACCTTTAAATATTTGTTTAGAATTGTGAGGTTTCCTTGAATTTTCTAGAAATTTCCTTAACGCTCAAGTTGTTCAAGTGCAATCAAATTATAGCCATTTAGGTCTTCATATATGTTTTTATAAATCGGCGAAATCGCAGACAACAGAAAGTTAATATATTTGCTTTGACGAGGTCCACAAAAAGCTGTTTAAAAAAAAAGGGTGCGTGTACTTATGTACGCGCGTAAGAAGTTATACTTCTTTGGCATTATTAAAAATAGTTTGGCTTTGTTCCACCTCCAGTTTTTGATGTTTCACAGCGATAAGATGACAACTCTTTTTTTTGTATTCAATTTAGTGCACTTACACTGATTCATCAATAGTTTTTTGTCTCTTGTCCTTATATTTGCTAGATTAAATCAGAAAAATTACATGTTTTGATTAAACAATGTGGTAATTTTTTTAATCAAAACATTACTCGATAATAATAATACAAACTGATAGTTAACCTCAATTGTAATGAAGCACTTAGGAAGGTTGATGAGCACAGTTTTTTCACAAATATTAATTAGTATTGGTTTAAATATTCAATTTAAATCACTTCTGATTATATATAATTCAAAAAGCATTGCTAAATTTCTTTGAAAAAATAATTAAAACTCCTTTATTTGTTTAAAAGGTAAATGACAAATGTCATTATGGTCATTCAAAATTCTTGGCATACGAACTTCACGCATATTCTATTTCTTTTTACTTGTAGATTGTCTTATTCCTATCTCGCTCGCGCACGCTATAATCACACTCCTAATTTTGTGTCACGGTGCGCGCGCATCGTAAAATTTCACTCTCATAAATTTTTCATAACGCGCCTAAAGAAGTATAACTTCAAAAAATATCATCTAATACTACTACTAAATGTTTGACGGGGAAACAAAACTTTTACAGAAAAATTTTAATATTCTGAAAACTATAATACTTGAAGACGCGTGCTAAACGTATATAGACACCTTTATTCAATACAATAATATTTTTATAAGCACCACAAACGATGGAATGTACTCATTCATTGGACAGTTCGATACTATGAATAGCGTAAACAAAGCGTTTCATACGCGTGGAATTTGTTCAGCTATTTTTATCTTCGTACGTAATTAAATACTAAAATCTGTTACAGCTTCAGTGTGCACTTCCTCATTTATTTTCCATTCCACATCATTTAAGATTTAAATGTCACTGACAAATTACATACTAGTAGGACTAACAAATTAAATATGTTCCCATGGCCCATGTGACTGCACACATTAGTAATGTGCTGGACACTTGAACATACCAGAGTATGTATAATCCAATCTGATTAAACTCTCTCTAGACTTTCTTTCATATATTTTTGGTTTAAAAACCAAGCGGGCGAGCTCGACTGTGTATTAAGTTATAGGGAGATTTACTCTTAGCAAGCTCATCCCCCGTATTCAATATCAATACCGATCCCAAATTCATGCTGAATTTTCGTATAACGTAGTTTCAAGTTTGTGACTTCCGCGCATAGCAAGCACATCGTTGGGTTCACAATAGGTTTCATCGTTAGGTGACATATATCGCATCGGCAGTATCAAAATGCCAAATCCACCCAATTATTTACTTAACAACTATTGGATATGGGCTGTAGTCCTACTGGTGTGTGGTACGGGTAATAATATAGTATATTTGATAGACATACTGTAATAATTACTATACAACCTATTTTTCTCTTCATAATAATCTATTGCATATAAAAATTATCTCTATGCCTATTTCTGGAGATATAGGGAAGACTATCGATATGGGAAGATAAACGTTATCTTTTTATTGGAGTTAGACATGCATCGAGAGGTTGAAGTTTTTGTATGAATCAGTGTATTAATTCGTTGAAATTTAAGTATATTCCCTGGATACTTGGAATGTTATTGCTAGATTTTTAAAAAGTAGAATCAAATTTTATATCACAATTTGAATAAATAAGATAGATTTTCCGTCAAGCGATCCGTGCGTATTTGCACTCGCTATATTTATGACATTATAATTTTCAAAGTGCCACGAGAATGATAAGTACTAAAGTATAACTCGTATGTTATGATCTTAAGTAGCCAGTTGCTGCTCAATAATTTAACATCATTAATAATACAAATATTTCAAGTAATTATAATCTCGAAGTGAGCGCAAATGACGTTGAGTCTAGCCATTTCGACCAGGAGTTTTTGTCTGGTTCAATGACAGTGCCTCGTCATGTTTCTTACGGTAAAAGTGCAGATTCATTTGAATTCTTTTAGAATTCTTTGTCGAACTGCGTTTGAAATACAGATTATTTACTAAACATCTGAAAACTACATTACTATTGTTAAATGTTCAATCATTTAAAAATTTAGCTCGTACGGTTTCGGTATTCATGTAGTAATTTCTTTGCACTAGAAAAATACAAACATAAAATGAATATTAGTGAAAAGTTGTCTAATCTTCTTAATGGTTATTAAATTGAATAAAATAATCTATGAATTCCTTTTGTTGAGGTTTCCAATAAAATCTTGAAATCTTTAGTAAAGCTAACCTACTTTACAGCTAGAATCTGTCAAAAGCTTCTTCGTCTTTCACTCAAAACCTTGTCTAACCTCAGGCAATTCCATTTTGACCTCCTCTTCAATAATAAGAACCGGGACAGATTTCTATAGGATGGTCCCATTCGTACAATAAATGTTTGTATGCGTAATAGTTGGCACTTTATGCAGTCCGTTAACCACCGTATCAAAACCGCATGTCAACCCACAACCGTATAGAAAATTATGGCAACGATCTATTGATTTGCAATAACTGTTTTCTACAATGGTACGATAAGTAGCATAATATAAAATCTCTTATCGTACGTACTATAGAAATCAAAACAGTAAAATCAACCTGTAATAATGAGTTGACAAAAATAATAGGAGTAAATTTGATTATGTTTAAAACTCAACTGAGGCCTGTCTAATTGCTCTTCAAAATAAAGGTAAACTATTTTTGCACGATTGAAGGACTCCTGCATTGAATTATTTCTTTGTTCAATTATCCTTAATTCTAAGCGAGATTGAATGCAGCATATAGATTGGCATCTCTTCCTATTGACTAACATGGTAAATACGCGTCATAATGACAACATTGTTGACGCACTGAAGTGAACTTAGAAACTCTAATTCCTGTGGTAGTGTAAAGTATATACTTAGTGATTCCCCACATGGTTTCGTTTGTGCTGTGTCATTTGTTGTTAGTTGTAGTTTCAAGGTTTAATTATTTTTGAAGTTATACTTATTTAGGCGCGTTATGAAAAATTGATGAGAGTGAAATTTTACGATGCGCGCGCACCGTGACACAAAATTAACAGAATGAAGTTGCCCACAGAAGATGCTACGGCATTGGACATAATTTAAAAACAACATTCGAATAATAATAGAATTTATGTTACACAATGTAAGAAAATAATAATAAATATTTATTTATTTAACTTTTCAAATGTAAACTGAACTTTATTGACTATAATGACTCCTTTTCCAGTCTTTGATTATTTAATTGTAATTAATTATTTGCATGCAATCAAAAACTATTTTCAATATTGCCAAAGAAGTATAACTTCTTACGCGCGTACATAAGTACACGCACCCTGTTTTTTCAGAAGAGCAGCTGGGGGATATTATGTTGTGTACATTAATAATTTAAGAACAAGAAAAGTCATTATTGTTAATTCTTCAAAGCCACGTAATTATTCTTTTAGGAGGGAATCAAAGATGTTGGATATAAATTAAACTGTTTGTGCACTATTATTTATTTGGCTTCTTAATATGTAATGAGGGTGAACTTCATTTTCACCGGAAAATTGTATTAATTTTTCAAGCATTACGCCATTTCTTATTAGCATTCATTATATCTGTGGGCATCAATATGCAATGCCTACCGTTTCCGACTAGCTTAACTTATTGACACCTACGCAAACCTAACTCTTATTACAATGTGTTAAGGATGAATAACAAAATTTTAAGTTATTCATCAATCAAATTTCATCTCTAAATACCTGTTGTTTAGTGTTGTTTTGTATTATCAACAGCTCAGTTGATTGAACCTAAGACAAGGTCACATTACCTAATAAGAAATTGTTATATTTGAGTTTTGAAGTACTATAATACCTTTTATTGCAAGGTGGATGTTCACATCAAATACATTCAAATTAAATACATTTACAAATAGATATCTACAAGAAATCACAAATAAAAATATGTAGCAATAATTAAGCTAAGTAGTAAACATGACTTGACGGCTTAGAGAAGCAATGCTTTTGGAAGCTTTTAGATGTATTGTTGAATTACTTATTTTTTGTAAACATACAAATTTTAAAGATACTTCACAAGAATATCGATTTTTTACAACCTCTTCATCTCACACACGAATTCATTTATTTTCCAGGAATCAAACCCAGAGCCTGCAGATGATACACATTGAAGCCCAGGGTTAACATTATAAACTTGTAAAATAGGAAAAATCCTATTAAGGCCAGCTGTAATGCGTCACACTATTTACCATTACCGATTTAAATGTCTATTGTCTAGTTCTATATCAAAGGAATGTTTTAACGAGCTAAGAGCAAATCTATATCGCGGTCTTGAGTTCAAGGTCATTTCTCGAGATAAAAAACCAGTTTTCTGTTTGTGCATCTCACCTTGACGCCCTTTTTATAGAGGCTCTACTATGGCATTTGTTAGATTGTCTATGACCTAGAGATAACCGAATGAACTTTACGATGCTTAAAAGGCCCCGTAACAAATTCGTGAGCCTTTTCGCAGTGTAAGCCAAGTCTCCTGCACATTTGCTCTTTGTTCTATAAAAAAATTTACAACTTTGACAATTTGATATTCGGTTCTAGGGAAGTAAATCAGGAATTTGCCTTTTGTACTAATTTGATGAATTAGACATTTATACAGACAAAAATAGACAGAATATCATTTTCTATGCATTGTTTAATAATTTTACTTTTTAATAGTGTATAACTATATATATATATAGGTAACTATAATAGTGATTTACTTTAAGAGTATATAAGAAATGTAGGCATAAAGAAGTTAAATAAAGTATGTTTTCTTGTCAACAAAGTTATAGACACTGACTTATTAATTCTAGAATATTTGTTTCTATATTACATATGAAAAAGTTTCTACATTTTCAGCTTTGATTTTCATAGTCCATTATGGCACTGACATCTTAATGCTATATTTTTCTTTGGTTGGAAGGTTGCTATTAACATTCCAGCCAATACTTATGTATTGATGATATATATATATATATATATATATATATATGACTTATGTCAGCCTATGTGTTTTGCAACAAACTAGCACAAAACTATGAAACATTTGCTTAGCTAGTCATACACAATGTGTTTGATGATGACACTTATATAAATTCAAATAATATATTCGAGAAACTACGATTTCATAGGAATCAACAAACTCAACCTAAACCAAATTATTTAAAGACTCCTTAAAGACCATCACATATCACTTTATACTTTATAGTGTAAGTCTAGTAGTAGGTTAGGCATAGAATTTTTATCTTGAGCTGCTCACTGAAGGTGAAGTTTTTTGACCTTGAACAGATTTTCTATCTATAATGGCAATTAACACTAGCCCATTTGTTAAAATAAATTTTTCGGTAACACAAACATACCTGCCTAACAAGAAAAATAAGTTAATATGATTCAGAAATATGTCTGCCCCAAGCTTCATTGGGGTTTATAATTATAATATTTCAACAATTTTAAGAAGTATTGATAACATGTATGCAAAAATATTGATGAGAATGACCTATAGTTATAAATTATGTTTTCAGTTCAACACAATTTCCACAAGAAATGCTAATGACATCATGATAATTCTAACACTAAGAACTTATTCAATAGAGATCATGACACCAGTAGATATTATGTAATCATTTTGCAATTAACAAAGTACATAAATTTTCGATGGTAAGAAAATAAGAGCTCATTCGGACAGCTCTGCTATTGTTACAGAATTAGACTTAGGAATATACACAGATTCCTAAATATAATTCCATAAAGACATAAAAATGTCTACTAATCATAGAGACAGTTGTAGACTCTAGAAAATTAATATTAATTATAGGAGTCAAAATTCAAATTTTTATTTAAAAACTACTTACTGTCTAAATTAAAACAGTTGGTAATTCAATAGTTCCATTTATATTGTTACTTCGTTGTAATATAGCACGGAAAATAAGATTCAAACAAAAGCTGTGTTGCATGTAGGTCAAAATCCCCAAAGAAAATTTTTGATAGTGTGGATTTTTGTGAAATTCCCAATAAGCTTAAATATCAACTTCTTCTATTTTAGTGTTGAGGATATGGACAGTGGACACCAATGATGCCAGAATCCGTGATACTACTTAATTGCCAAACAGAATATTAAATAAATAGCAATTTTGTTTAA